AGCGGGAGAGAATGTAAGTGGACTGATCGATTTTCTTGTTGTTTGCCTCGTGATTGAGAGTTTCTTGAGGTTCGTTGAGCGTTTCTGCAAAAGCATTTACTTGCTTTTGCCCATCATACACATGACCAAGACGACTCTTTGACTTATCAATTTTTCTGGGCTTTTATTACCCATACGTTCAATGTATATCGAAATTGCTTATCTCGGTATACAGTCAAAATACCGATGAGCTAGAGTCTCAATAGATTTCAGACATTGAAAGATTGATGCGAGGAAAAACACTTCTTAAAGACCAGAAAATATCCTACAAAGTGCTTTTTAATTCAAATTAAAAGAAAAAAAACTGCATCCTGAAGTCAAAAAATTGAACTATCCAAAGGATCAAATACAACAATTCAAAAAGAATTGGTCCCTAGCAGGATCGAACTGCTGATCTTGGCGTTATTAGCACCACGCCTTAACCAACTGGGCCAAGGGACCTTGATGTGATCGAATACTATGAAACAGCCTTCAGTTGTCTCATAAACTACGAGTAGATCGGTTTATAGATAGTTCAGCCTTAGTGGATAGGCCTAGTCTATCTGTCGTATTCTCGATATCTAAAAAGGGTCGTCCTCCTTCAGGGATGTCTCAGCCTCACGCTCCTTTATAGTTCGGAACCCTTCTATACAGTAGGTGAGGGGTAACCCCGATCAGGAATGTTTAGACTCTTCGTCCTTCGTATTATACAGGATGACGAGAATCTATGATCTTGTTCATGTCGTATCATAACATTGAAGGGTAGCACATGTGCGTTAATAATCAAAAGACATGTATGCGTTCCGAAACTTTAAAGCATGGAAGATCAATGTGATTTAAACTCAATAGCGGTGAGGGGCTTCCTACACCCGATAAAGGGTGCTTTTTACAAAAAAAGCACGTTTTTGCCCTTTTAATCAGATGAATCTACCAAAAAAAAAAAAAAGTCGGGTAGTGTGTTGAGGCTCTCCATAGTATTTTTTTTTTTCGTCGTATATACTTTTGGCCCCTGCCTCTGGGAAGCAGTTTCCTTCAAAGCATGCGTTTCTAAAAAAATAATCCAAAAACAAAACTTCAACTTCTCTTTGTTTCGACACTTGATACGTATCTGCTAGCTGTCTAAAGTTGTTTAAGGTATTATTGTGTAGTTTTGTTCCCTCAATCAGACAAATCTCTCAAAAAAAGAAAAATATAGAAATGTGTAACTCGGGTGTGATTTACGAGAGTCGAGGGAAAAAAAATTTCTTGAAACGAAGGTTGTGATTTTTTTGTTCAGTTCAGTACACTAGTTGAATTCAGTAAAAAAAAAGAATTCAAAATACGGTTTGAAACATAAGCTCTCCGTTTTGAGTGAGATATAAATGTGGACATTGGCGTAAGTCTTCTCGAGTAATCTGACTCAAATTGGAGATCACATGATGTTCCAAAAGCCACATGGGAAAAGATGACGATATAAGGACTCAAAATTTCTAACACACTGATGCATGTGACGGAGGAAAAAAAATGTATTGTACTTGTAGATTCCTCATACACGTCTAAGTGCAATAATAAAATTTGCGCGGCCGTGAGACTTTAGTTCATTAGATTTGCCAAAATACGCTGGCACTGTAAAATAATTCTCCATGTGTATGACACCTGTAATCTTTATGAAAGCTTTCGAACAAAAAGGTATTCATGTTTCTTTATAGTTAAAATCGAGTTCACCAAGACCTTTTGAAGTATTGTATGAATAATAGATCGAGATATACAGCATATCAAAACCAATAAGAGTAGCCAATCAATTAAAATTGCTGCGATCGAAAAAACTTAAAAGATTAAGAGCAACTACATGAGAACTCAGTACTGCAGGTCTCGAAAATTGAACATGCAATATTAGACAATTAGATAGATTAATAGCTTTAGTTACATGTGTTTGTTTGAATCAATAGCAGTGTAGAAACTGCTATCTGTATTTGCCAAAACACTTTATACTCAAAATTAAGCATAAAACTTCACATATTAGCTTATGACTTACATGCATACTGCCACTGAAACTTGTCAAACTATCACTTCGTGGAGGAAATATCAAAAGTTTGAAACAATACGAGGTAGATGATGTCGCACGACTGTTGGAGGTTTACTTAGAGGCCGTTGAAATACTGATCTCTCTTCAGATATTACTGGATTCAAGCCTAGAATTCTAAATGTTATTTGTATGAAGAACGTTTAAAGGATTTTTAAACGTTTTATCTCCAGAACCATGAGGTTATATTTCTAATCTTCCAACAATCGCCAGATGCATACCTTGAATTAAATCGCCGTCTCATCCATTCGTTGAACACAGCTTGGATCTACGCTGTGAATGATAAATCTCGTCTCGTAGTAGTTGCTTCAACTCAGGATGCTGAAGAATACTTCAGGCTTCCCGTTCTCCCCCTCTTTGAATGTTATGCTTACCCTGAATATCCTGGTGACGAACCAATTTGATCTTGTTAAGTTCTACAAAGAGTTGTCAGCCAGAGTCAAGATTTCGTTTAAACTCATGGTTTTGGCAAAGTTTAGCTATTGCCAGTATTTGGATGTTTCGCAGTTGTAGAGTTGGATATAGAAAGCGTCTGAGGCGTCTCTACTGTTATGGAATGTGTGTGTGTAAAAAGATGATATTGGAAAGCCGGTATTTTCCGTGGTGAAGACGTGGTCTGAACGTATTGTGATCTAATATACACGATGTTTATTCGAACAGGCCAAAACCCACATTGTCGTCAGACTCGTCCTCGCCTTCTCCTCAGCGGCAGCACCGGTGGTGCCAGCAGCAGCATCAGATCCAGAAGAGGCAGCAAGAACAGAAGCGGTGAGATTGGTTTTTAGAAAGAAAATCATATTATAGGGTGTCACTGGAGAGATGTAAAACCCCGCCACTAATGAAAAACTATGAAGTAAAAACCTATGATAGATCGCAACATTGGCTCCAGTGAGAAGACGCGAGCACCAATTCACGAAATCTCCCGAAGAGGAAGTGATCCGCTCAAGAAGATTTCTGTCCGTAACCAATGTCAACCACTTGAATAAAATCAAATTAATGTCATCGTCCCATAGGATATGTTCTCCTGAGGGCCCGTGACCATAGTTCATTTGACAGGGCGGCATGACGTACATTTGTCTTTGCCTCCTGGTCCATAAGCAAATAAACCATGCGAACTATTTTAACAAAACAATTTAGGTTTCTTAAATTCTAAAAGGAAGTATTTCAAGAAGCTAGCATCTCCCTTAAGTGCTTTCGAGCTTGAAACCCGATCTTTTGCCACCAAGAGTGCACAATCTCAGACTCATTGTAGAGGTGGGTTAGCTTCTGATCGCTATAACAGCTTTTCAAACACAGCCTGCTTTCGAATCTTGATGCCCCCACTTCATTGTCATTAAAGGAAACATAGGAGCCGTGATTGAATAGATGAATGGCTGTGAGATCTTTTTGCAATAACCATTCTTGTTTGTATAATTCTTTCGAAAATTTTTGCCCGCTTTTTATCGTCTCCAATTAAAGGGTGATTACAAGGGGATGCCCAGGGCGAAGTGGCGGGAGTTCATCCTGTTTGTGCCGGCTCAATTAACAAGAACAACTCTTTCAAGTCCTTACCTTCCAAAGCCTTCGCGAAAACATCGGTCCAAACGTTGTCAAGGGAGGCATTATTTGTCTTGGTGACATAAAACAACGTGTTGGAGGAGATTCTATCCCCAGGCAATGATGAAAGCGGCGTGAGAGACTGAAATCTCTTTTTTTTTCTAAAAAGAAAACATCATACTCTAGGGTGTCACTGTATTTTTTTTTTTACTTTTGGTAGATTCATCTGATTAAAGGGGCAAAACTATATAACGAATATATACAAAAAACTTTTAAACAGCTCCCAGCTACGTACCAAGTGTCTTAGCTCGGCCCGTCTCCTTCCGTTAGTCACGGCCTGGACAGTCCTCATGGCCCGTATTTGTTTACGTATTGGATATTACGTCATCGACTCCTAGGATAGGTCTCCTGTAGTAGTCGCTTCAACTCAAATGGTTGTAGCGGACTTAAGGAGCCCACTGGAGGGATGAGAAAAATAAGTGGCTGTATTATAATGTATACCCTTATGTTCTTAGTATAATTGTATAATCTGTCCCTAAGGATCTTAGAGCAATGGGTGCTTTTTCCTATCACAATATGTTTCCTTGACAAACTTACCTCTGCCTCACGAATATTATGAAACAGCCTGGAGCTGTCTCTTAAACTACGAGTAGATCGGTTTATAGATAGTTCAGCCTTAGTGGATAGGCCTAGTCTATCTGTCGTATTCTCGATGTCTAAAAAGTGTTATCCTTCTTCAGGGATGTCTCAGCCTCACGCTCCTTTATAGTTCGGAACCCTTCTATACAGTAGGTGAGGGGTAACCCCGATCAGGAATGTTTAGACTCTTCGTCCTTCGTATTATACAGGATGCCCAGAATCTATAATCTGGCTCATGTCGTATCATAACATTATCTCCCCAAAATTAGAATGTTCGTCCTCGAACATTTAGTTATCATGGATAGAGGAAAGCCTCGAAGTACCTTCGCCGCGTCTGATTATTCTGTGACGGCGTACTACCGCGTGTTCTCCGGTTGTAGAATGGAACTCAGGGAGGTTCCCTGGCCGTGTGCGATTATATGCGCTTTCAAGAGCGAT